TTTATTTTTTATTCTTTCAAATTCTCTAACAAATACTTAAGTATCTGTACCTTGGTCTCCTGGACCTAAGATGGCGCCATAAACGGCGACTTTGCAAATTTTTCACATCACTCATTCAAGTGCATGTGACAATAAAGACAACTCTAATTCTGATTATAATTCGAACAGAACTAGTTGCATTTCAACGATCAAACGTTCTCAAGGTTTCCAGGGCTTTACAAAACCCAACAAGATTCTCTTGTTCTCTCTCAGCAATTACGCTGATGACCAACATCATCACAATGGAACAACCTTCTTTTACCAGATCAACGTGATTCAATTCACAACCAACCCACATCAATGGATTCCATACATTTGTTGGTCACATGTATATTGCCTTCAGAGAAAGTGATGTCAAAGTTAGCCTTACACAGGAAACTTGCCATGCAGCGAGAACAAGAGCATCCACCATTCCCACCTGGAATAGGAAGGGTTCTGTTCCTGTTTCAAACTGGAAGAGTTAATGATTTTGGTAAGATATATCTTCACCTCCATTGCCCTGCGGTGGAGAATATGGAGCTCCACTCAGGCCAAGAGTTTTGTCTTTTACAAACTGGTGCGAGGAGAGTTTCTTTGCGGATAAATTATATCAATCTTGGCACCAGGCCCAGGACTTACCTTGGACATTCTTCACCTCCTGACTGCTGGTAAAGTTGGAGGGAGAATGAGACACTGCACAGGTGAAGACTGAACCTTTCCTCCACTCCTCTGTGCTCACAGTCAGGTAGTGCCTGACACTGAATGTCCCTGTCTGCTCCAGAGCAGTGAGGCCAGCACGGGTATTGGAGGAGATCAGGCTGCTATCCTTCTCCCAGGAGACCTGTATGAGGTCTGGGTAGAATCCAGTGATCACACACTCGAGTGTAACTCTGTTCTGCTTCTCGGTCTCTTGGGTCGATGGAGGCAGCAGTCTGACTTCAGGACTTTTTGGCGGAACTGGAACAGATGGGCAAAACAAAGAAGGTGTTACAACTCTTTACTTTGATCTTGCCAAAGTCAGAAATATAATTTTTGATCTCTTACCCACCTCTTGCACTCCTTGTCCTCTTTGTCACTGGTGAGGATGAGGGACCACTTTGAGCAGAACACACAAACTCCACCCCACTCTCCCACTCCTCTGCTGTGGTTTGGAGTTGGCTGATGACGATGTATTGGGTGCCTTCCTCTCTCTGGGGCTGAGCTGTAACCCCTTTACTTCTCTGCCTCCCATTTACCATCCAGGTGATCCGGACCTGGCTGGGATCAGAACAGACTGTTGTACACACCAGGGTGGCGGTCTTGTTGATCCAAAGCTCTTTCATTGAAGGATTTTGGAGAAAGACAGACATTTCTGGGAATGGGAAAGGAAAAACTTCACAAGAATTGATATTTTCTGGTGTTGGCAGGTTTCAGATGTTTAGGGAAGGCTTTGCTATCATTAGAAACAATGAAACATGGGGACAGACGTTGCCTTGAACTGGAATCCTGTTTAATCTAGAACATCTGGAGCAAATACTCAAGTATTAGAAAATCCAAGGGTCATTTATAACATGTTTTGCAATTGTCAGTTTGCAGATTTTGTCCAAGAATGTACAATCGGTGCATTAAAATGAGGCGAATCCATTTTAAATCTGTTTCCCACGTCTGTAATCAAGACTTCACGTCTGTGATCTAGACTTCACTGCAAGGCCTGAAATTGACTTGTGGTCTGAACAGTTTTTGGAGACAACAATATTAATAAATGCAATCTGTTCTGAGGAAGGGTCACCAGACCCAAAACATTAACTCTGATTTTCTCTTCCCAGATGCTACCAGACCTGCTGAACTTTTCCAGCAACTTCTGTTTTTGTTTCTGCTGTTATTAGTAAGTGCAATCGCTGATTTGTGAAATGGAGTGAGTCAGAGATACAATCTGCTCAG